TTCATTCCCTTTCCACACTTGATCACCCTTTGTTATGATGGTATACAAGCTTCTGAGACCAGCCACTTTCTTGGGCTTCCACTTCCATTTTCTGAAGCCCCTGTGCCCTTTAAAGTATTAACGTTAATAAGGAAGTATACACTGGTGGCCTTATGCAGGAAGCAGTGCTTCCTTCTGCAGAAACACTGCTCTGATGTGTTTCCCCAGGCTTTTCTGTAGGTTCTCGCCTCTCAAAGTACAAATCCCACTTAGCTTCCCCATTCAGACTCTGTGATTTATTCGGCAACTTCCTGTATGGTGAGAGAGTGCCCTGATTGCATTTTACCTACATGAGGATTAGTCCTCCCAACTTGGGTTCTCTCTTGAAGTCAGGCCGCCTTGGAATTCAAAACAAAACCCATTTCTCTCTCAAGTACCCAGCTCTTGCGGGTCAGAAGCACTTTGCTTTCAGCCTACAGTGTCTGCTGTCAGTTAAAAACATCCTTGAAGTTCTTCCTTGTTGTCTTGTTTGCTCTGGGTTCTTTCTGTCCTCCCCGCAAATATCATTGATTCAGTTGGTGGGAAGCAAGCTCTAGAACTAGAAACCCATTCCTATGGAATAGAAATACTTGCTTCTTACTTAAAAAGTACTCTCCTGCTTCAGATGCAGTGGCCCTCAGAAGAAATTCTGGATTTTGTTGTTTTCCGGTGGGGGAGAGTGTTTGCTGGGTGTTTTTATTTTATTGTACACCTGCTCCTCTATCACAACACGGCATTTTTTTCTTTGCTACTATTTTCAAGTACAGTCTCTTTCTCATTTCTTCAGAATATTCCAGTAGAAAATTGAGGAGGAAATTTGTCAGTTTTTCTGCTAATGAAGGATTATCTGTTTGGTAGAAGACCATCAGATGGGGCATAATTGCTCCCATCAGAACTGGTAGATTGGGGATTTAGCAGTTGGTCACACTGTCTGGTGAGGCTGAACACACCTTGCTTCCTTGCTGGAGGCATATCACAAACTCTTACTTCATCTCTAACCATTAAATCATCCAACGCAGTAGCTGTATCTGCTCGATACATAGAGGAGGAAATTAGGGTTGCGAGCGCTTCATGAGCTGTGAAGGTGATCCTGAGAACTCTGGTCCTAAACGCAGCTTGACTTGAATTTACAGCTTCACAGGTCCGCCATGTGCCCTGCCTCCATTCTTCACGGAGGGTCCCCGAAGGATGCTTGAGAACTTACCCGCTGAGGGTAAGCCAAGGCTGGCCCTCACGTGTTCAGTTCTGTTCCCCCAAGAGCCCATTGCAGTACCTCCCTGTGACTGGTGCCTGCCAATGTCGCCCAAATGAAGGATGCCCGACTTTTATACCTTCCCTCACCCCGGGGGATCATTCAGACTTTTGAAAAAAGCACTTGGCTCTGATTTATCAACGTTGTGCTTACTTTTACTCCAATCTGCTGTTTGCAGGCCACTTTGAATTAATTATAGGAATTCTAAAAATTAATTATAAAAGCCTTTAGGCTTTTGAAATCTATGGGCAAGTCCCTATTGATAGTAAAATTTAGGTCTTTTTTTTTTCTTTTCTTTTTCTTTTCAAAGATTTTATTTATTTGACAGAGATCACAAGTAGGCAGAGAGGCAGGCAGAGAGAGAGAGGAGGAAGCAGGCTCCCTGCTGAGCAGAGAACCCAATGTGGGGCTCAACCCCAGGACCCTGGGATCCTGACCTGAGCCAAAGGCAGAGGCTTTAACCCACTGAGCCACCCAGGCACCCCAAATTTAGGTCTTTCAACAAAACTAAAAATGTGTTACAGAGAACACGATCATGAATTTTCAAGCTTCCGGCGAAAGAGCGCTTTTACTTTCTCGAAGCAGGAGGAGGGTCTCAGGAGTGTGTAATGCTGGACTCCTTCCTCAGGCTGTTTCTCTATGATGTGTATGGTCATCCCCCCCTGTATCTAGCAGGGGTGCCTTCCAAGCCCCGCCCCATGGATGCCTGAAACATTGCATAGTACTGAAGCCCATACATAGTAGGTTTTTTTCCTGCACATACACACTCATGATAAAGTCTAATTTAAAAATTAGGTACAGGAAGAGATTAACAATAACTAATACTCAAATACAACTATAACTCCATACCGTAATAAAAGTTACGTGAATGTGCTCTCTCTCTCAGAATACCTTATTGTACTGTACTAACCCTTCTTATGAGGGGAGATAATAAAATGCGTACATGGTGAGGGGAATGACAAAGGCATGTAACATAGCACTAAGACATTCTGTCTTTCTCTCTTTTTTAAAATTTTATTTATTCGAGAGAGTAAGAGAGAGAAAGCATGAGGGGGGGAAGGGTCTGAAAAGGGAACCCAGTGTGGGACTCGATCCTAGGACTCTGGGGTCATGACCTGAGCGGAAGGCAGATGCTTAACCAGTTGAGCTACCCAGGGGTATGTAGACCTTCTGATGTTCTGTCAGAAGGAGGATTCTCTGCTCCTGGACTGCAGTTTACCACAGATAACTAATTTAACAAATATTCCACATATTGGATGAGGGGTTGGAAACAGGCTAGAAACAGACTCCTTTAGGGCTGCGTACTTCTTAAATGGGGCTCTTTTCAGTGATGTCACCAGATATTTTGCTCCTGTTTTGTGCTCGTGCACAAATGTGTGAAGATGTGCCTTCATAAGTACTGAAGTCAGAATTCAGTCTGTTGCTGTGTCTTCTTGGGCCATCATCTGTCAGATATGCCGAGACTAAAAAGTCAGTTGTCTGTTTATTTTCAAGAGAAGCCGTTAAAGAACTACAAACCTCAGCGTGATCCTTAGAGTGATTTCTTTTTGGACACGGAGAAGCACCTTGTTGTTCTCTTTAAGGTGCTTCAGACCCTGGGAACATCAGTGGGGGTGGGGGTGGGGGTCGGGGGACAGGAGGGCAGATGCTCTGGTTTGGATGTCCCATTAGGAGGCTTGATGTTTAACAGCACCAAAGTCCTTCTAGTTAAAGCAGGGATTTTTATGCTGGTGTACTTTTATCCATAAATCCCACACCGGTCGCTGCCACCTTATCGCGGGAGTCCCAGACTAGAGCTTACCACCATACTCAATGTGGCGAAGAGCATCTCCCCGCAGAAAGACATGTTCAGCAGGCATCCCTCATTCTGTGACTCCTTGACCTGGTCCATGGCTTCCCAGCTGCAGAAAGATGTGTCTAAAACACACAAGACTATTTTCAAAGGAAATAGCAGAGTGGTTAAGAGCACTCATTTTGGAATCCAACCATTTGGTTTCAGATTCCACCTCTGCTCAGCCTGACACCAGACCAGTCCCGGAGTCACGTTATCGTCTGCGCTTATAGCAAACCGTTTATTGGGCAAATACCTCCCCCAAGGGCCAATACGCCTCCCTGAGGACCTGCTGGTACGACTAACCTACTTCCAGCTGTTCCTTACGCAGTACCACTTTAGTACAAGGGATCAAGGTATTCCTGACCAGTCGACTGCCGGGTGGCTTCCTGTTTTCAGTTTTATCTTATATTTCGTTGTTGCTTTCCTTGCAGTTAATTGGGCTTTAATTTTTACACCAGACAGACAGGCTTGAACAACTCCTAATACTTACCATTCAGCGTACATAAACTTTCATTCCGCTGATGTTACTCCATGGCAGAAGCCCTAGGATTTATTTTTCTGGTTGTTGTGTTGCTTGGGCTGTTTCCCTCAGATCTACCTGAAGACCCAGACAGCCACCCTTTGCTTACCCTACCCCACAGAGTGGTATTTCTTGTTTGTGTAGCATTCATAATGCAGTGTTATGATGGCCCATTCCCAACAGTCTGGGAAGGGCTTTCTTATTTGTAAACTGAATCCTCATCCTAATCCCAGTGGTCATACCAAACACTGACTCTTAGGCAGATGAGTCTCCGTGCCTGCATTCCCTTATGTATAAAATAGGAGTAATAACCGTGCCCCCAATAAGGCTGTCGGTAGGATAGATGACATGCATATGTAAAAGTTGGTAGAACAGGGCCACTATTAGGAACTACTCTTATTGGTGTCATTCTCGTTCCCTTATTTTTGTATAATCTGTTTTTGTGTACAGGCCACTCTGCATCTGAGTTAGTTCCAGTTGCTATAAGAGAATACTGTAGTCTGGAGGGCTTAAACAGTAGACATTGATCTCTCACAGGTCTGGGGGCTAGAAGTCCAAGATCAGGGTGCTTGCATGGTTGGGTTCTGGTAAAGGCCATCTTCCTGGTTTATAGACAGATAGCCATGTTCTTGTTGTATGCAGACATCCAAAAGAGAAAGAGGGCTTGTTCTCCTTCTTTTCTTGTTGGGACACTAATCTCATCATGGGGGCTCTATTCTTCTGACCTCATTAGCTCCCAAAGACCATACCTCCTAATACCATCCCCTTGGAGGTTAGGGTTTCAGTATATACATTTGGGGAGGACAGAAACGTGCGGTCCCATATTTTGGGCAACTTGTTGCTTTAGTAACTGAGCTGTTCCCTATATTTTCTAGGAGGGGAGAGGAAAGGAGAGAGTGCAAAAGGTGATCTCTCTTTGCCTCCTCCTCCTCCATAAGCCATCCCCTAACCCAAAGTGGAACAGTTTCCTTCTGGGCTTTGAAAGAAAGTGGTCTGTGTTACAAGGAAATAAGGTTCATTACATATATATTCAGCACTCAGGTCTGAATCAGATGCCATCCACCTGCTGGAAAAGTCAACAGCAAGGCCCTTGCCCAGGTTTACCCGGAGATACATCGCATAGGGAAGTTCGTTAAATAGCCATAGCTTCCTGGGAAGCGAAGAACCTGGCCCAACATCAGCAAGGAACATTCTTTAATGCTATGTTACATTTCCTAGCAGAAAACTAGAAAGATTACTGAAAAGAAAATCTATTTCAAGTGGATAGGACTTAATGAGAACTGGCTTTTTTTTTTTCTTTAATGCATTAATTTTATAATCTAGTGGCACAGTAAATCAATACTGGGTATATGAAACAAAGTGTTTTTCTTTTGAAGATATTCTGGAGTGTGTATAATAATATCCCTCCTGTGACCAGCCTGCCTCTGAGATGTAGTTATCACTTAATGAGAGGAGAGAGGCGACCACTTTGGTAAGTGTCTAACTTGTAATTGGAGGTTAAGGTGGGAGGGAAATGGTTGTGAACCTCATAAAATATTTACTTCATGCCAAATTGGAATGCCAAAGTCATTTTCTCCCGGTAATGATGGAAAGTAATTTTAGCTCTTACTTAATTATGAAGGAAGCTGCCGCCCCAACTTCCCCCTTCACCCTGGGCTCCACGATGACGAGTAGGTTTCTCAGTGTTCCCCACTGAACACCCCATTGTGGTCTCACCAAAAATAGGTCATTGTTCGCACGCCAGACTTATGATGCAGCTCCTTTGTAGGGGGCGTTGCTGCATTTTTGGTTTGTTCTTTCATTTGCACGATAATGACCTACACAGTGGGGTGTAGAAGCTTCTAGGCTACTGGGAGATGAGAGGGTCAGGTGGAGTATGCACGTCTGCTGTACGGTCGAACCTCAGAAACGTCTCTCACATGGATCCCACAAAAGTGTGGGAATCAGGCACAGCCCAGGGTCTAGAGGAAGGGACCCTTCTTTAATAGCTTGGTGTCATGATGAGGGTAGTAGATGATGAGCCAGTTTGCTTGGGCTGGAGTCCCAGTTAGTAATAAACTCGTATATCGTGTCCCTTGCATATTCTAAGTAACGGAGACATCCCCTGGTAGGGCTGATTTCTGCCATACCCGAGCGCTCAGATGTCGTTAGGAATCTGACACACTCCATCAGATTTGCTTTGCTTTCCTCAGAGTTGGTGTAATTTTTCAGAGAGGCTCTGCCTCCGGAGTGGCAGCATGGGTCTTGGGAGCTGCAGTCTTATACCCTCCAAGTTTATCACTCTCAGCCTTCACCAGACCCCACGTGATGCCAGGGCTGGCTGTCATTGGCCCACCACGGGTTCTTTCCATCACTGGGCAATCATGAGGACTAGAAAGAGGCAGTATTTTCATAGGCAAACCTGGGTCAGAAGCCCATCTTTGAGACTAGGATGTGGCATCAGCCCTATCAGAATGGGTCTGACATAGAAGTAGGGGACAAATAGCTCCTTAAAGGGAAATCGGGGCGCTTTTACCAGATGAGCAAGCAGATACTAAATAGGAAATCATGGTGAGTGCCCACCACAGGGGCCGAGTCTCCTATTAGGCATAGAGTGGAAGGTGGATATGAGACTTGGACGAGGCAATGCCATGAATGCGGTGCTGAAGCGTAATGGCTTTCACGCATGTAAAGCACTTGTATTGATTGTCCTTCCCCAGATAGCATAGGGAACCTCTCATCGTCACCTGCTTCAGGGTGAGCAGCTGGTAGCCCATCGCCACCCCTGCCCTTGTGGCCACTGAATCCCACTTTCTTCCCTTCCCATCTTCACCCCCTTTCTTTTTCTTTCCTCCACTTCCTTTTATAGTAAAAGGGCTGCGGGAGAGTTTATTGAAGAATGTTCCATTGTTTGTCATTTTTAATGCCATCTGTGGATAAATTAAATGCATGTAGAGTTACTTAATCCTTGAGTCTAATTTCAAACCTCGATCTCTGATCCAGGGAAGAGGAGAGTAATGCGAAGGGTGGCGTATGGAAGATGAAAGTCCCCAAGGACAGCACGGTAGGTTTGTTCCAGTCCCCTTCTAGAACGGGCTGTGGCTGGGTTGTTGTTGACTGCTTGTGGTGAACATCTCGGGCTTTTTAGGCAGCCCACTTGGTCGTCTCAGAGCAGGACTGGGGGTGAGAAAATCTGTTCTGACCTTCGTGAATTTCTGCCTCCCGGTGTCACCTTGAAAATGTAGTACCGTGTTTCTGTACAGAAACGGTGCAGACGTGGGACTGTATCGTAAATTCTGAAGAGCTGCCTGCTTCTAAACTTTACAGAAAGGCTGATGCTGGCAGTCATTTCCTCACCAGCCATGACTAGCATATGGAAGTTGGTATATGAGAGAGAAGCAGATTCCTGCCCACCCAAGGCTGGTCCCTCCTCCACTGAGCTTGGTGCGGACACAGGGATTCTTGGGAGGCCGCACATCACACCATTCGGGGGGTTTCGTGTAAGGTTGTGCCCAGCCTCCCTGTGGGACTGGGGAGAGTCTGCTTGGTAGGACGACCTGTGAGACAACTGGTTTCTCGTGGTCAAGCCTCAGAAACCGAGATTTTCTAGAATAGGCTCAAATTCATCATACTGACTAAAAAGTGAACATTCGAACCCATTCTTAAGCTTTGGGAAACCAAAACACTTCTTTGAAAATGGATGAAAGGGCAGAAGCTACCCGAGTCACCTCTTCATGGTTTCTTTCATGTGGATAAGCTCAAAGAATTACAGTGTCTCCAGAGACCCATAGGTTTGAGTCATTTCCCTATAAGCGCAAACCTAAAGATGTGACCAGATTTATTTGTTAATGAAGCAGACTGTCAGCAAGATGCATAGCTCCAGGATTTGCCTGTTACTTGGCTTTCGCAAAAATGTCAGGGCAGCCAACCACCAGGCAAGGCCTGCAAAGCTCCTCCTGCCCCTCTCTTTTAAGAGGAGAGAACGTAAGTTGTTTTTAATTTCAGCAAGAGCATGGTTTCCTTTTCTTGTGCTTGATTGACTCACACCAGACTTTGAGTTCTGGTAGATACAAATGTGTGATGTCAGCGTGTGGTGAACGGTAGCTGATGGGCACAGTCATCCTTTCTCTCCTCGTCCATCTGCCGTCACAGATACTAGCACATACACGTCTGTACAGGTGTCCTTTTCACTCACTGTCACTTGTGGAGGAGTGGGGTCTGGTGGGCCAACCTTGTCTGATGTCACAGTGAGGGAGGGAACCTCCCCTTTCCCCTGACTTACTTGCAAGGCTCTCAACTTCATCATGAAAGTGTAAGACACCACAGGTGGGACGTAGAGAATGGAGAGGATGATTTCCAGAAGGGAGACCAGCAGAGCCAAAGGGAGCATCTAGAAAAGGGAAAATACATTCTTCCTTGCGAGTGAAAGCTCCTGGTGCTTAACAGCTATCATCTTGGTTAAAAATTCAGCTAGGCTGCTTTCCATGCATTAGGACATAGTAATAAACACCATTATTTAGAGTTAATATGTAGCGAGCACCTGGCATAGAGCAAACTTGTTGCTATTTGTGGAACAGATTTTAAGTATTAACTTCTTTTGCTGCAGTCACAGTGCTAAGCCCTTTGAATACATTTGTTGACTAATTTCATGGTCACAGCAACCCTGGGAGATCAGCCTGTTGTTATTCCCCGCTCGCCTGAGGAAACTGATGTTCCCTTAGTCTGTCCGCTCCCCGACCAAGCAGCCTGGCAAGGTTCAAACCCAGTTCTGGGAGAGTTTAGGGCCTGTTAGCTCTGGCAAGGAAGATACATGGGACCAAGAGCTTTTTGAGGGGGAATACTGTGAGAACTTTTAGGCCCCCAGCTGCCTGTGAGCGCTTGCTGGCCGTTGACTGGCTGGCCTGAGTGGTCCCAGTAGTCCCTTGGGTAGAAGGGACTCCAGGTTTCTCACTTGCAGGAGGTGGGTGGGAACACGAACTGAGTCTTCCAAGAGACGCGTGCACACACACAAGTTCTGCCCCTTGACGTAGCAATGTGTCTCTGCTGGATGGCAATTTGCAAGTCTCTGAACTTCCTTAAGAGCTCATCACTGCGGTAACCTCTTAAGTATCTCGTAAACTGCCAGAAAAACAGAGGGCAAGGGAGGGTTTTGGAGAGAAGGATTTTACTAATAGCTTTCAACTCTAATCAATTGATACATTTTGAATCCGTGAAAGCTCAAGGAATTGGAACCTTCTAAGTCATTTGAAAGCATTACCTACCCACCCATCCCATTCTTTTGAACTTCATCATGGTTTCACTAGAGATTGACTCTGTGGCTTTGGACACAAAGTGTTACGGACACAAAGTTTGTGACTTTGGATCCCCGGTATCTATCTGTGTAAAGTTACTTGTGAAGCGATACAGTATATGCCACTATTAAGTGTTGACACCTGTGACCCGGGGATGTGTGTGGGCTCCAAATAATGGATATGAACAATGCATGTGAAGCTGAAAGAAATGTGACTTGTTGAAGATACTTGTCTAAAAATATATGTGTTGTTATTGGTTTTTGTTTTTTTTTATTTCTGGTTTTGTTTTGGTTTTTTTTTGTTTTGTTTTTTTGTTTTGTTTTATTTTGTTTGTTTGTTTTTGTTTTTGTTTGTTTTTTTGTTTTGTTTGCTATTTTTTATTCTTTTCCCATGCCAGTCCACAGTTTGGAAAGAGTTGTTGTTAGCGACAATCGGGGAACAGTTCACAGACTGTGCCGCTGCAGGTAAAGAAGCCCATGCCGTCGGTCACTTGCTCGTGTCTGCTTGGCTTGTGCTTGTCACTTGGAGACGTTTGTTTCTGCGTGTTTGACTTTTGACCTGTTTCGAAGTTCTTTACTTGGTAACTGTGAAGTTACAGGTTTTTTTCATGTGATCATGGCATTTTGTGTCATATGTGTATGTACACGTACATATTTATGTGTGTTAAATGTATGTACGTATGTGTATGTACATATCTTTTTCCTCACATAGCTCATGTTAGTAGTATCCACGAACATGTGTCTAAAATCAATAGGTGAAAAGGAAAGAAAAGAAAATTTAGTATCAGTTGGTTCTTGACACAGTTTGGGTTAGACTTCTCATTCCAGTTCTTCCAGAGGGGTAAGTGGTGTCTAGTGGAGTATGGAGTGACACCAGCATAGTCCCTTGTGTCCCCCCCTGGTTTTTCTCCCTTCCTCCTGTCCCACTCTTGGGCCCCTGCTCAAAGAGACTTACAAAGGCGAGGAGGGGATGTGCTCACCCCGGGACTTGTAACCCCACAACAGAAGCTCAGATAGAAGGTCCTCAGGCATTTTCAAATACTGGGTGAATTTCTCAGAGCCTCCGTAAAGTCCACTTTGATATTACTTTGTTTTTGTGATGAAACCGCTCAAAGAGAAGAGTTGAATTGCATGCTTAACATTTTGTTTTCTTCCCGGCTAGTTCCTTCAGAACCCTTCTGAGGTGACATTTAAAATAACACTTTACCTGTTCAGCTTTGAGTTAAATTTTTTTTTCTTAGCTAATTAGTACTGATTAATTAGTCCCCAGGTGTCTTAGATGGTGCTAACTTTGGGCACCCCCCCCCCAGGTCAAGTCATTGCCTGGCAACCTTCAAATTCACTTACTAGCAGTTTCCATAATTCTCCTTTTGTTTTGCTTCCTTATTATACCAGTTTTCATTCCCTTCAGACAAAACCTGGGATGAGATGAAATTGTCTTAAAAGTACAGATTCCTTCTATGTTAACAGGGAATAGTTAGCAACTTCACAATATGGAGCCAAAAATATGTCCTAGGCATAATTATAAACACATAAATCCCTGGGAGAGGAAGTTTCCTGTGCAAATTATTCCTGTTTCCAGAACCTCGGGAAAACAGTCTAAGTAATAATAAACAGGCAGGATTGAGTAAAGAAGGCCTGTTGTTCCGTAGTTGACTTAGGAAACCGGTGCACCATTAACAGTGTGTTACACGTTAGCTCTGCTGTGACCCCCGCTCTGCCACCTGGAGCAAGCTGGCCAGTCTCTCCAAGCCTCACTTCCCCCATCTTTAAACAGTGGCTCCTCCTCACTCTTCTGCCAGTCCCCTAAAATAATTAGGGTTTTGCTGGTCGATTCTACTTATGAATATTACATGATTGCTGACAGATCTGCCTTTGCGTAAGAGTTGAAGACTTTGACCATGCCGCTTCTGAAAGTGCTAGGCTGGTAGGAGCCGCCTGGTTATCAAGAGCCAAGCCAAACTGAAATCTGGACGGCTCAGCAGATCCAACAGCCATCAATTACAGCACCCTCTGGCCAAGAGTGTAGAAATGGGCCATCCCCAAAGACCGAAGAATGCTGATGTTTCCCTAAAAGGCTGATCTAGTATCTTCATGGCCATTCTCGAAAATGGTAATGAAAATACATGCACAGGGCTTCCCTCTTGATGTGTTGATTTTCTGTTCACATAGGTTCTTGAGCTCGACCAAGTGCCCGTTGCAGGCGTAAATTCAAAAATGAGAAACCTGAACTAAAAATTTTTGATGCAACAGTGTTTCTCTTGGCTAAGGGATGGCTGGGATTAGGTCCTTCCTATTTTTTTTTCTTGAAATTTTGATTTAAATGTGACATACATCCCAAAAAGTACACAAATTGTAATGTGTATAGCTTGATAAATAGTCACAAAGGCAATAGATCCCCAAAACTGCATCCAGATCAGGGAGCAAGTGCAACATTACTCCTGCCTCAGAATCCCTTCTCTCCCTCCCTTCCTCCCAAAGGTGGCCATCAGTCTGGCTTCTGATACCATAAACCAATGTTGCCTGTTTTCAAATGGTGATATAAATGGCATCAATTTAGTGTCAAGTCGTACACAATTAGAAGGAAAGAAGGGAGGGAGGGAGTGAAGGAGGGGAGGGAAGGAAGGAGGAAACAAAGGAATTATTTTACTAAAGATGAATTCCTGTAGTAAATTAGATGTGCCCTCTTTTAAATTATATTAGAATACTGGAATGTTTTAACCCCCAGAAGACAATTGGAAAAATTGATGATATAAATATTTAGATGCACAGATTTAGAGCAAATTAGGCAAATTAGACAAAGCATATTAACTAAAGCAAAATTTCCTAATTTTGATACTGCTCATCTTTTGCATTTTGTTTATAGATCCTGGGCACTCAAGTACAGAGAGCCAACCCTATTTCATTAATATGGCATGAGCACATAAACCAGGAGTGAAAACCCTTTATTCCTGTCATTTTGCCACAAATTAAAGGACACAGAGTAGGTGCAAGGAAGCATATGATTGTCCAGAGCCTTCCTTATCTGGCCGCCATTCTCAAATATCTACAGAGTAGCCCCCAACCCAGAATCTAGTTAAAAATAGATAACAGACCTACACGAATCAGTATCGATGAATGCTTTAATGTCCATTCACAGAAGTACTAGACTAGCAGAGCCACACTCAGAAGATATTTACTCTCAGTTTATACACAGCGCTGATAGGTGGTCATTGGTTCTCTAGCCCAAAGTTCAAAACGCCAAAACCTGAAGGGGAGGAGCCGGAGAGAATCGCTGAAAGCATGAAAAGGGAAGGGGCAGACAAGCAAACCACACAGAAACAGAATGAGCAGCTAGGAACACGTGATCTGGGTCCAGTTAGGATTGGGGCAAATAGCACTAACCACCCCACGATCTCTGAACACTTGGCAGGAAGTCCAGAGATATACTTGCTGTTCTTAACAAAGACAGTCAAGCATCGAGGAAAAGTTCATTTGAGTTCACTTGGCTTTCAGAGGACAGAGCATTATGCAACCCATTTTAGAAAAAGTCTCCTCAAAACAGACAAAGAAATAAGTCAAAAAGCTTTGGTAACATGTTAAAAAGGATAAATTACTTATCTGGAAAATTCGTTTGGCTGGAACACGATGTTTATCTAAGTCCCTGGGTCAGTGTGACGTGCCTGTTGCAGCTTTTGTCCACTAACTTGCTTTTTGTCCAGCGGTTCCCCTTAGAAACAGTATTTATCATGTGTTCTCTTGTGCCACCTTTTTATTATCTTATCTGTAACTTACAGCTATGACAATAAGTGCTTAAGAAACAACGCAGACAGACTTGGAATTACTGCTCATTTCTTTCTTCCCTGCCTTCCCCTCAGATGACGAAGTCATAGGAGTCAGTGTCAGCGTTCGGGACCGGGAAGATGTCGTTCAAGTCTGGAATGTAAACGCCTCTCTAGTGGGTGAAGCGACCGTGTTAGAAAAGATCTATGAACTTCTGCCCCACATATCTTTTAAAGCAGTATTTTATAAACGTAAGTGCTCTATTTTCAGTTATTACTCTCTAGTTTATTCTATGATTACTTTTAAAGATAGAGACTATGTTGCAAATGAGGTGAAGGCAGAATCACTCAAAATTTTATAATCCAGAAAATAATTCGATAAAATACATATAAGTGTTAAAAAAAAAAAAAAAGGTTCAGTCTCAAGAAATTAAAATGAGCTTTTATTGTCACCCAAACACATGGATCAGAAAAGGTGATATGTGTTGTATTGGTTATTTTGGAAATTTAAACCTGACCTTAAATTTGTCACTCTCAGGAAAAATTACCTTCTGTTTGAAATAAGAATAACAAGAATTCTGTTATTTGAGCTGGCAGGTAGATATTCAATCATCCCTTCATAAACAGGAATTTATAATGTATAACATCTATATTTGTGGAGGAACTCGTTCTGAGCGCAGGGGTGATTGAATGCTACTGAAATGCTAATACTTCCTCATTACAGAGGACTGTGACACAGAACGAAAGAGAATTCACGCACAGTGGTGAAATGTTAACAGTATGAATAGGTGTGTGGACCCATTGTTTCCATCATGATTCATGTTCATTGCTTTTGTGTGCTCTTTTGAAAAAGTCATCTTTTTCATAATGAAAACAGCTTAGTGCGATTAAATGATTGTTTGGTAGATCAAACTGCAGGTTACACTTTTAACAGTGAGTTCGAGAGAAGTACTGACAGCCCTCTACATACATCTGATAAATTCCCGTTTCCCAAACCATTCCAAGAGTCAATAACCCAGTGTTTTTTTGTTTTTGTTTTTGTTTTTTTAACTGTGTGGAATTTCATTGACTCTAAGATGCCTTTGATGATAAGTATTAGTTTATAATCACCAAGAGAGAAAAATAAAAGACTCCCAATTAAACTATGATGTATTATTGATGCCAGGGGTCTTCTGATGTGGGGTGAGGAGTGCATCTCAGTCTTGTTGAAATACACTCCATTATTGTTTCACTTTTCCCAACCCCTTGCCAAAAAGGAGGGGAAAAAAAATCAAATGTTCTTTTGAGATTGTCTTGGTAGGACAGAGGTTATTAAAACAAAGGCCTCCTTCGAAGGAATCATAAAATCACAGACCAAGGGATTTAGATTTTAAGCAACAAGACTGATATGTTGCTGTAGATATTCAGCAGGTGCTTAGCTCCTGAATTTTAAATGAAAGTTTCAATAAAAGAGACAGAAAAATGGCCCTGCCGAAGTGGATTCTTGGCTGTGCAGTGTGGAAACTGCACATTTGTAGATACAATTTTCAGTCCTTGGGGAACCCTAATTGTATTTCAACCCACATATTAATTGAAAGGTCACCAAGGGTCTTTTCTTGTTTTTTTCTGCTTCATAAGACTAACTCTCTGGAAGGAAGTATATTTCATGGCCACTTATGAATGGGGCTACAGGAGTCTTTCCCACCTTTGAACCCACTCCACGTTCAACTCAAAAGAGGAGAGAAGCAAATTTGGAATCATCAAGTCAGGCCCTCTGAATTTTTGTTCCCCTTCAACCATGGGACCTCGAGCAGATCACACTTTTCTTGTCCTTTTACTTTGTCATCAGACTATTGAGGAGGTTGGTCTTAAATGATCTCCAAGGTTCCTTCTGCTTCAAAATTCTCTGATTAAATTTCCAAGTAACACAGTTCACAGCAGGTCCAAGATGATAGGAGTATTTCACTAGAAAATGAAGCCATAGAGTGGTTAGGCGAGTTCTTAGGGCACTGGTAATAATCAGGTAAGACCGAACCTGGATGAGTCACTGCTTAGTTGTTGTGATGGCTTGGGGAAGAAGGGGGAGGGCAAGCCAAGCAAGGGGGAGAAGTTGCAACCTGGCCAGTTGAATCAAGCTGACTAGTTGCCCTAAAGATAGATGCCATTGTGAAGTTTGTGAGTAATGCAGAACTGGCTAGGGTCTCTGTAGAAATCCATGTTTTAATGGCATAAATTAACATTTAAAGACTCAAAGATTATTCAAATAAAAATTTGAATTGGAAAAAACAAGCAATTCTCTTTATTTTATATAAAGCAGGCAGTCCTTTACTCAGTAGGATTATTATACACCACGTGCTGCAGAATTGATTTGGAAAAATGAGGTTTGGGCAGAAATCTTATTCACAGCATGATGAAGAACAGTCGTAGTGTGAGCTAAGTTAGGAATGGCCAACTCCATGCTTTGATTCTGTTTTGTTAACAGGATCCTGTGTAAGTATTCACAAGTGTACAGAAGCTAGGTGACATGGCAGATTTCCCAGGTGGAAAGAGCCCAAGCATCTTGGGTCAAGGCCTCCAAGCAGGGGAGATGAGTGGGCTGTTGTTAAGCTATACAGGATTTGGACACAGATTAATTATTTGACGGAGACACTCACGTTGTACAGGGAGACCTTTCCCACACCCCACACCCATTCCGTTATGTTCTTCAGAGCAGCTGAATGACATCCTTTCTGATGGGAGAATTATTTAGAGCAGAGGTTGGCACACTAGGAACCTTTAGCCAAATCTGCCCCCTCCTTGCCTCCTTCAGTAGGGGCTGCAGCTAAGAATGGTTTTCACATCTTTAAATGGTTGGAAAAAATCAGGGGAAGAACGACATTTCGTAGCACATGAAAATTGTATGAAATTCAAATTTCCGTGTCCATATATAGATAAAGTGTATGGGTGCCTAGCGGTGCCCGTTTGTGCGCATACCATGTACGGCTGCTTGGTGCCGACGGTGGCAGAGTTCACTGTTGGGACAGAGAACACGCGGCCTGCGTAGCGCAAAATACTTATTCTCGCCCCTTTCCGGAGCAAGTCTCTTGACTCCCAGTTTCGAGAATTCTATATTCTCTTCCCACCAAGGCTCACCCAAGGCTGGAAGAACTTCCGTCTCGCAGGACTCCCCCAGTTCTGAATGTTCTCTTCAGCTAGCTCCATAGCCCGTGACAGTTACACGCCTTCCATGTCTCAGCCATGACTGCCGCAGACTGTCCTCACACTCAGCGTCATGAAAATCCCGGCCCAATCCATATGTCTCAGTTCCTCACTTGGAGCCCAGCGTCACCAAGAGGTCTGGGCCTCCCCTACCTGACCCTGTGGCACTGTATATTTCACTGCAGAACAGACCATATTTGCTTCGGTACCAGCCCTAAAAATCGGTTTTGAAGAGAAAAAAGGGGAGGGGGGGAGGGGATATTTGTAAAGTTCTACATGCGAAAAGCATTCAGTTAAATCATTTGGGATTATAGAGTCTCCTTGGGAATTTGGCCAACCCACAGTAACCCTGGGAGCTAATAGGTATGATTCCCCCAGGATTTTATCCAAATGAAGAAGAGGTTGGGGCAAACATCCAGGATGATCCTGAAGGGAAAATGGTCCCTGTGCCCACCGCTTCACCCCTGCAGACACTAGTCTGAAGAACTTAGTCTTTATTAAAGACAGAGAAATGGGAGGGGCTTGACAGGTGGAATGGGCCAGCCCATCCGTGCCTTCCTAGGACATCATGCACAGCCCGCAGGGGGAGGACACAGGGAGACGAAGCACAGAGAACTGAGTTGCCTTGGGCTTTACCAGACCCAAGCTGGAGCAACTTTTCCCTTCAAGAGAAGATAATCTGCCCTTGCTTCATGATTATGTTAGTCAGATTCCAGGAAGTGGACTTTCACACTTGGCCTTTTTTGCCTTGGAGAAAATGTTCTATGTATTATGAATGTCTTATTTCCCACTTCTTTATAAAATTTTAAGTCTTTGAAAAATATCTTTGATAGCACCATTTTTTATCCTAGGGTCCCTAGCTGTAATTAGTGACTTTGCAAGCCAGACAACAGGACGGAGGGGAAAAAAAAAATGAACAACATGATTGGGAAAAATAAAAGTCCCATCCGTTTTATGAAATTTCATTTCCCACAGAGGGTGCTCAGAGGTGGGGGGATGTGATAGGACTGCTTACCCACTTGTGTTATTCTTTGCTTTGCTTTGTTTTTGTTTTATTTTATTTCTAAAGATAGGTCCTTGCACGGCCCTGGAGTGGGTAACTTTGGGTTCCCCCACCCTGTGCATCCTGTGGGGCACATTCTCCCCCCACCCCAGAGCATTGGAGGCCCTGCATATTTTCTTCATCAGCTCGTGGGGATTACTCATCCTCTCGGCACAGCAAGAAGAAACAGGCAGCATGCCCATTGCTTGTTTATTCCTTGTTTTAATTTTCATGATTACGTTTCTCAGGAAATGCACGCCTTAGCTAACAGTTACTGGCACAAAAAGGTATTTGCGTTCTTGCCAGCCTTTGGGGAAACTGAATGAGATGCCTTAGAGAAGGGTTGCCCCATCCTTTGCTTAAAGTTTTCTTTCCTTTTTTTCTTTTTTGTTTTTTTCTGTCCTTTAGCCCATGAAGAGCATCATGCTTTTGAAGGTGGACGTGGAAAACACTAATTGCACACTCTGTAAAGAATTCTTTGTCCTTTGCTGATTGGTTTTGGAAACGGTCTTAACAGGAGGGAGAGTGAAGAGAAGACTTGCCGAAGCCCGATGCTGGTCCATGTAGAGTGGGTTTCTGTCCTTGCAGACGGGGCGATTAGGGCTCAAAGTGGCAGGTGGGGTTGGGGGGACTGTGTGGGTTTCTACCGTCACATTACTTGCTTTTCTCTCTCTCTCTCTCTCTCTTTTGCTTTCTGAATTCTCTGTTCTTTTCACTCTGGGTTTTTTTGGGTTTTTTGGTTGTTCTTTTTTTCCTTTTAAATTTCCTTATTCAGTCTAATTATTGTTTTCTACACTCCCCTTTCATTGAGGCACAAGAAATCGGTTTCCCTTTGAGTAGCTCTGCTGTACCTAGTTCATGAGAATATGCCTAATCGTGACAATACTGCTTTTGAAAACCACACTGTACTCGGAGGAATACTAGCTTGGTGAAACCTGTCTTGATTATTTGTTGTGACACATTCCTTAAGACTGTGCACTGGGCATTGTTTTTTTCTGTCCCAGGGAAAAGAAAAACCATACTTAATCTGATTTTGCACTGACAGCACACACATCTTTTATTTTTCCTTTTTAAACTTTTTTTTTAGCAATAAAAGGAAAATAATAGTTGGGTTGCCGAACATGAAAACTATAATCACAGTTGAATATTTCAGGATATAAATCAAACTCGAGGTCTTCACACCATCTGTGGAAGTATTTCTAACCAGAATTTCAATTTGGCCTTCTCGAAGGATAGGCATAGAGTGGTGGCAATGGATTTCTCCTGGTAGGAGACCTTGTATTTCTGATTTGAAGAGGTAGAGGTATTGTAATTGTTTGCATTAAAGCTACTTCTGAATTTTGGATGTGTGTGCCCATTTAGGGCTTTCCAAATCCTTTCAAACACACTTTGTTAGATTATCCCTTTTTCCTGCTCACATTGTATATGATTTCCAATAATCGATAGTCTTCCTGCCTGGGCAGCTCTCCCCTGCCTTTGTCATTTAGGAGCAGGAAGGTAAATCTCATTTCCAGGATGAATGTGAACATTGGCAAAGTGGAACGTAGAGTGCATTCTGTTGATATTAATTTTTGGAATTGTTGATATATATTATATTATGTTACCAAAGAAATGCCGGTTTTAGTAGAAGGAAACGGCCACCCTCTGGAACACTGAGACTCTTTCCAAAATGTGCCAATTTCCCTCTCTCGACTCTGCCAAGCCTCCTACTGCTGTTATTTGAAAAAGGCAGGGCCATTTGAAGACACTTCCTCTTCCTGGCTTTTTCTGAGTCCAGGGAGCTAGTGCACGCTTATACATGTCACAGAAAGGACCCTGTGCTCAGAACTTCGTTGTACCCAGGATTTTTAATACCTCTTGCAGTATCGACCAGCAGAGAGAGGTAGGGCCTCTTCAAGCCTCCAGCCTGTGTTTGTAAATAAAATTCTCCCATCAAACATTTTTAAATACTTCCAACGATATCTATTTATAAAAGTTGTGCCCTTCACTTGCATTGCTAACCATATCAACCATAATCTCAATGATCACAGTCATGAAAACTTCCTTTGTTTCTAAACTGACTTTCCTCAGCGATTTCAGAATGAGGTATAAGGATATCAGACCCCCTTTTTCAAAAGCCTGGAACTTGCTTCCTTAACATTGTACTAACATCCAGCTTATTTTTAAATTATTCATCAAGGATTTTTTAAAAAAATTATTCTGAACATGAATTTAAATTCTTTTTTATAATATAATTATTTTTCTGATAGAGTAGAAAAAAAGGATGATTGACCTATCTTCATTTTAATTGTCATATATATTTCCATAAGTAAATGGATTTTGAAGTATTTTTTTTTTGAACTTTATTTAAAGCATTGTGATGACATGTTCAGCTTCTGCATGTATGTAGCCTTTGAAGAAAAAAAATAAATAGGAATGCTAGGCTCACATTAATGTTCTCGAGTTTCTGTTGTTTCTGATCGTGGCACATGGCTTAACGCACAAAGTAGATTTTTGTCCCAGAGAACTTCTGCACCTATTTCTGACCCTGCAGAAAATACCAACTGTGAGAAGGATTTAATTTGCCAAATGTTAAGAACCTATTATCTAAATTACTCTAAGAGTGGAGTTTGTCAGATTTTGCTTTGGAAATTGTTTTAATTGAATATTTAGTTCCTAATAGACTTTGTATGAACTAAGCTGATTTAATCAGTCTAAAAACCTCTCATTACCTTCTTGGATTAAAGAAGCTAATACTCTTTTGAGATACAAGGAAATATCTTGTGGGGCATGAGACTTTTGTTTAGGGCTGTGTACCCATGCGGGGGTGGGCGGCACCTAGTGGGGCGGGGGGGGGGGTCCTGATTTCAGTCCTGACCTTGCAGGTGCAGCCTGTCCTCTCTCCAGAGAGCCTGATGGAAACCACAGTGCTGACTTGCTTGCTTTTGTCCTTCCTTAGGTCTGGATGGAGAGCCAGAGTCTCTGGGAGAAACCAGTGTGCACTTTCTCCTCCCACTGCCCCATACTAGGTCATTAGATCACAGGTGCTTGCTTACACTGGGGAAGTGACACCCGTTTAATAAGGATGGGTAATACCCACTTAAAGTAACTTGTCTCCGTATTCACTTTTCTTCTGTAAGCACAACCCGAAGTGTCAGTTTATTCCACTTAAAGATTCACCGCCCAACTTTTCCACACTTCTGAAATGAGGGGATAGTTTACAGTGAACATGTACATTTACTATAACGTGGCTATTAAATTCACGGTGAAAGTGACAGCAAAAAAATGCAAAAGGGAAAACACAACTCTCGTAAAACTTTAAATAGTTTAACTTGACTCCTTCTCAACTCTCGTCTTGACTTCAGCTCAGGCCTGCACCATACGCACAGTTCCAAGACCTTATAGATGAACGAAACTTTGGGTGTCATTGAGTGATAGATACACCGTGCCGGCTCCTAACAGAGCCTTGACGAAACCCGTCCCTTGTGAAAGGACATGGGGTAGCAAGGGACAGAGCTGGGCATTAGAGTCTGCAGGCTACATACCCAGTCCAGATTCCTCAAACTGAACACTCAAGTCTGTCAACCGAACCCCCAGACAGCTCACCCAGGCCAAGCACTACATACCCGATCCCGTCTGGCCAGTGATATGCCCCTACGTGGCCAGATAGCCTCTCATTTTCTCCCTCGGACTCTCAGTGACTAAAGCGGTGCTCCAGTTTGGTGTTTGAAAATAACCTTGTTGGGACAGGAGGTTGGCCTTTGCTGTGAGAAGCCCAGCTCCTAGAAGGTCCCATCTTTTGTGCTTAAAACAAAAGTGACAACATTTGGAGCGATCACATGGGGGCGCTGCCTTCCAGCCAACCGGTCCGGCTCAGCACCATTTACCAAGCTAGGTTTGTGCAATTATTTTAAGATTCGAGTGCATTTTGCTCTTCTGGTTTTATAAAAATGCAGTTAGATACTACCAATAGAAGTTTAGCTTTCCAATACCGGAGAAGAACGTGTGAAAGAACTCTCTGGATGTGCTTTAAAAAGCTCAATTCTTAGGCTCTCAGTGAGCCTCTAAGCAGTGACAAAGAGAAAGAATGAAATAAACTAACATATAGGAAATACCAGGAATGTTTCATCAAATATCGTGCCCGAAGGCAGAAGTAAAATTAGGGTTTGGTTTTCGGGTTTTTTAAGGGCTTTCTAAATATGGAACTCTCCTTTAAAAACGTAAGTTTGCTGTTCACCTTTCCTCGACTGTATATTTCGGTATGATTTCACTCCTAACAAGGAAAAGTAGAGGACTGCCTGTAGGTAGTTTATTTCTTAAAAGAATGTATGCAGAGCAATTAAAAATTACTTAAGAGTGTGGCGACTCAGGGTTGTACAAGCCTGGGTAATTGCCTGGACAAGTGGGAGGGGTCACAAGGTGCCAAGGGAAAAGATGGGAGCTGGGGGGTGTAGTGAACGCACTTTGGACCCATGCTTTTGCCTAGCGATTAGAGTGGGTTGTCCCACTCGTCCTGTCACAAGGAAGAAAGCTCAAATAGGCTCTTTACACATCGGATTATGCTGTTCTGTTTCCATTTTCTATATTCACATATACATCCACATCCAAGCACTTCTCAGGTTAGCGTGTTCAGGCTCAAAGTCACCATCTTGTGCCGTAGAAATCCTCTCATCTTGCTGACGCTACTCCATTTCTAAAAGGAAACTCACCGAGTCTTTGAATTTTAGAGTGGAAGGGACCTTCGAGATCATCTGCCAGTGCTTCTCACCCCTTAGCGTGCAGAAGAATCATTGAGGTGCTTACTCAACATGCACATGTCTCAGCCCCGGCCCTAGAGGTTCTGATCCGCCAGGTCTGGCAGACCTAGATATCTGCCTTTTTTAGCAAGAGTCCCGGTGATTGTAATGTGGATGGCCCTCAGACCTCACTTGGAGAACCCCCTGTTCATATCCAGCCCCCACCTATCACAAAGGAGGAGAGCCTCCCACTCCGCCTCCCCAAGCTCTCAGGTGACCTGATTGGAATTGTAATACCAACAACCCCAGGAAGGCTGGAGAAAGCCATTATCACTAAGACTCGAGAAGATGATGCTCGTAAATAAGAACTTTATGGCTAGGACCACAGCGGTAATAAGTAGCTCATCTCTGGAAGTCCATGATATAAAACCTTTACTACAGAGTGGTGGCTTTTCTCTTTTCTAAATACCATTTCAGCATGTTAAGAGAAAAGAAATTAATGTTCAGAAAAAGTAGTTACTCCATATGTGCAGTAACTACTTTTCTATAATATCTTATGGCATCTGGGGTTCAGCATCATTGAGCAAGATTAAATGAACATTATAGAGCTATAAAATTGCATGTAAAATAACGCAAAACTGTTCAAAAGACTATCAAAGTAGCCTGGGAAGAATTTCCACTAAAATTGTCACTCCTAGACGTAGCTTAGCAAAGCAGTTACTAAAGTGGAGGGATTCTTTAATACAAAGAAGTGTCCAAAAAAAATCAAGTAAGTATTCCCTAAAACCATGTGAATGATAATCAGAAGTCATTGTGAAGTCAGTATTTTTCTGTCCATCATTGCTGCTAAAATTTAGAGTCCCATTGTATATGTGTGTGTTGAATGTACTGATTAGAATATCCAATAAAATGGCCTTTTGGATATTCTATGCTTTTGTGTCCTT